GGGGGGGAGGGAACACGGGACGGGGGCGGACATGGGGGAGGGGAGTGCGTCCCGTGCGCTGATTGGCTGGCTGGAGCCTGGGCTGGAAGCGGGGAGGTGCCCCACCCACCCACCGCGGGGAAGGGCCGCTCCTAGTCTGCCTGAGAATTCGAGGTTCCAGCCTTAGCCCCCCCACACACACAGGCTCCTCGCAGATCTGAGGTTCAGAGGCCTGGGATTAGGGGAGCATCCTCATCCTAGCCCACCCCCATCACCCCCAAGCTGGCTTCCTTATCCGCACTCTAGATTTCCATCTCTGTACTCAGATCTCAGAATCTGGGGGCTCTGGTACACTGAACTCGCCATCTCCAAACATCTAGACTTTGCTCTCCTCCAGATTCCTTGCCTTGCTAGGACTAGAACCCAGGGCTCACTAACCCCCAACAACCACTGGGCTGCACCTCCTTTCTCCTCTCCCCCTCCCCTGTTCCTCTGCCTCTCCTCCCACCAAAGAGGACCCAAAGGGCTGGATCCTTGGCCCCAAATACACCCCCCCCCACACACACACACACACTGGCAGCTCCGTCCCAGCCCAGGCTCCATAGACAAAGAGTCTCTGTGTCCTTGGAGAAAAGGGGGTGGGGCCCCATCTGGCGTGAGGAAGAGATTGGGGGGCCCCTGGAGTGGTAGAAAAAGAGGGAGTTCCCCCCAAAAAAAAACCCAGCCTATCCTTATCCCCTTTAGACCCCTCCACCAAGGATCTCAAACTATATCAAAATGCGGTTTAAAAGATTCTCACCAAGTTCCTACTCTGCACACCCTTGCTAGGAAGTTCTTCCTACAGTCTAACTTCTGATGCTTTAACTGCTCTCTTCGGACAGTTCTACAAGCCCCCGCCTGGGGCCACAGTCTCTGGGGTTTTCTCTCATTCTTTTCCTCCAATTAGAGATTTTTTTTTCTTTCATTCAGAGTAAGCAAAGGAAAAAGAAAAAAAAAAAGTTCTCCTAATTCCTCACACTGGACTGAAACTCCAGGCAAGATCTCCTGCCACTGTTCCCAGCAAGAGATTAGGCAGATAGCTTAAGCAAAGTTGCAGACGAGCTGGGGGGGGAGCGGTGGATGAAGGCTGGGGCAGGTGCCCCTCCATGTCAGGTCACGTGTCCAGGAGGGCAACATGGCGGCCTCCCCTCGGACGGTGCTGATCTCCGGATGTTCTTCAGGAATCGGCCTGGAACTTGCTGTCCAGCTGGCTCATGATCCTAGGCAGTGTTACCAAGGTAAGGGGCCCAGGGTGGGGCCTGAGCACAGCAGGGGTTGGCTTGAATCCTCAAGACTCCCCCCAACCCCTCTCCATTGTCTGTCCCTTCCAGAGGACTCAGGACATCCAGTGGGAAGTCCTTCATAGATCAGCCTTTGTCTAACCAATATTTCTTGAAGACCTGTTTCTTGGGGGCTAGGCATGACCCTGGGTGTCTAAAAGAGAGCTAGCTGGCCGGGTGCATGAGAGGTTTTTTGTTTTGTTTTTTGCCAGTCCTGGGGCTTGAACTCAGGACCTGAGCATCATCCCTAATGCTTCTTTTTGCTCAAGACTAGCACTCTACCACATGAGCCACAGCGCCACCTCCAGCTTTTTCTGTGTATATGGTACTGAGGAATCGAACCCAAGGCTTCATGCATGCAAGGCAAGCACCCTACCACTGAGCCACCTTCCCAGCCCGGCAGTGTTTTGTTATTGTTGTTGTTTTAAAGAACTGATCCAGGAAGACTTTCCTGCCTGCCCAGCTTCCTTTCAGTTGACCCAGACAAGAAAGAAGAACCTCGGTGAAGTTCCTCCCCAGATTACTGCACTAAGCTAAACCTCTTAGAAGCACCCAGACTTAGAGCTTAGAGGCAGATCTTACCTTCTGGCACTTCCTATAGGTCTGGAGCGCATGGTTCCAACGTGTACCCCAGCCCTAGCAACCTCTGACCCATAGCAGACTGCCAAGGAGGGCAAGGGCTGTTGCTCAAGAGGAGACTGGGGGGGAAGGCAGAAGCTCTGGGGTTCAGAGCTTCAGTCTAGTTGGCACAGCTGTATCATCCAGCCCTCTCCTCTGCCCTCTGTTTCGTGTGTGTGTGTGTGTGTGTGTGTGTGTGTGTGTGTGTGTGTGTGTGTGTGTGTCCCCATCCTGGAGCTAGAACTTAGGGCTTGAGTGCTGGGCTTTTCTCCCCTCAAGGCTAGCACAGTTCCACTTAGAGCTTTTGGCTGATTCATTGGAAATAAAGGGTCTCCCTTTCTTGCCCTGGTTGGCTTTGAACCTAGATTCTCAGATAGCCTCCTGAGCAGCCAGGATTGCAGGCGTGAGTCACCAACACTAGGCTCACAGTCTTTCTTTGTGTTGTCTTTCTCATTAGCTATAAGTTCCATAAAAGCAGATGCTGCATCTTATTTAGCACCAGCATCCAGAATAAAGTGCAGTGTACAGGAGATACCCAGTGTTTGTGGATAGATAGATGGATGAATAAAAACAGATAGGTGGATAGATGGGTGGATGGATGGATGGGTGGGCAGGTAGATGGATAAGTGGATGAATGGATGAATGAGTGGATGGATCAATGATAGATGGATGGATGAGGTGATGGATGGACATTAGACGGGTAGGTGAGTGGATGGATGAATGGATGGATGGGTGAGTGGATGGATGAATGGGTGGATGGATGGGTGAGTAGCTGGATAGATGGGTGAGTGGGTGGATGGGTGGATAGATGAGTGGTTGGAAAGATGGGTGAAGGGATGGGTGAATGAGTGTGTAGATGAATTGGTGAATGGATAGAGGGGCAGATAGATAGATGTGGGTGTGCATAAATGTGTGCATCTGTTGAATATGTGGTGTATAAAATTGCACTGCTCACATAAGATCATAGAAACACACAGGGGATGGACCCTGTCCTGTCTCTGATCTCTGTCCCCAGTGGTAGCCACCATGAGGGACCTTGGAAAGAAAGAGGCCCTGGAGGCATCTGCTGGGAGTGCTCTGGGGAAGACTCTCACGGTGGCGCAGCTGGATGTGTGCAATGATGACTCAGTGGCCCAGTGCCTCAGTCACATCCCAGGAGGGGACGTGGATGTGTTGGGTGAGACTTTCCCCTTTCCCTGGACCAAGAATAGACAAGGCACGAACACCAGCCCTCTGGCTCCTTCTCACCCTGAATAAAGAGGTAGACCAGTTGTTCAAGAGCCAGGAACGCCCATTGGTTCACTGGAGATGCCAAGAGCCATCTGAGATCTGTTTCGTTTTGTTTTGTTTGGGGGGGTGGCATGGAATGGACTAGACATTCCCACATATGAAGAAAACCATATGTGGTTGGGAAAAATTACTTCTAATGAGTCACCTGGAGGAGTAATTATGATGAAGCAACAACTCATGGTCTCTAAGCAGGCGGGTGATGAAACCATTTGGTGCAATTTGGGGACTGAGCTGAATTGCTCACGCCTTACAGGAAATTTAGTTTCCAAGAGTTCTCCCACCCACCTGAGGCACAGAGTTGCCTGAAACAAACCCCTGTGTTTCAACCTTCCCGAGGGCCTGCACGTCTCCACCCATGATACCCTGGACTCAAAGTGGCGTGGGGTGATTGATGGGGAGACCTCAAGGTAACACCCAACACTTCTTCCTCAGTGAATAACGCAGGAGTGGGGCTGGTGGGCCCCCTGGAGGGGCTCAGCATAACTACCATGCAGAATGTCTTTGACACCAACTTTTTTGGGGCCATCCGTCTGGTCAAAGCTGTGCTTCCAAGCATGAAGAAGAGGAGACGGGGTCACATCGTGGTGGTCAGCAGTGTCATGGGACTGCAAGGTGAGCCCTGGACTCCCACCCTTAGAGTGACCCTCCCCAGAGGGTGGACAAGAGCTTAGCTCCTATTCCAAAGGAGCCTAAGAGAGCTAAGTGGATAAGTGGATGGATGGATGGATGGATGGATGGATGGATGAATGGATGGATGAATGGGTGTGTGGATAAATAGATGGATGGATGGGTGAATAGATAGATGGGTGGTTGGGTAAATGGGTGGATGGATGGATGGATGGGTAAATGGATGGATGAATGCATAGGTGAATGGATGGATGGATGGATGGGTAAATAGATGGGTGGATGACAAGATGGATGGGTAGATGATGGATGGATGGATGGGTGGATGGATGGGTAAATAGATGGGTGGATGACTAGATGGATGGGTGAATAAATAGATGGGTAGATGATGGATGGATGGGTGGATGCATGGATGCATGGATGAAGGGATAGGTAAATAGGTGGATGGATGGATGAAGGGATAGGTAAATAGGTAGATGGATGGATGGATGGATGGATAGGTGAATGGGTGGATGGATAGATGAATGGATAGGTAAATGCGTGGATGGATGGATGGATGGATGGATGGTTAGTTGGTTGGTTGGTTGGTTGGTTGGATGGATGGAGAGCTAAGATGAGAGGGATCTTGCAGCTCAAAAAGAAAAGCTCTGGGATGGATTAACTAGGCCTGCCCTGGCATAAGAATAGGTGGCGAATGACATGTGTGCCATTGATGCCATGCACATCCCAGAATCAACTCCACTTCTGACACAACCACTTCCCCAAGCCCAAAAGAACCATCAGTGCTCCTTCCCCTGAGACTCCTTCTTGCCAAAGATCTCCCACCAGACCCTGGAGAGGTCTAGATTGAGGATCCTTAGACTGAGCAGAAAAAGAGAGTAGCAGTTGATTAGTGATGTCTGTCATGGGCCTACCCTCACAGACACCTGCTTGCCATCCATGCTTCCAAGAGTGAGACTACCCTCCTTGAACCCTTCTAGACTCCCATCCTCCCTCCCCCTGGAAAAGGTCCAGAGCTCTGCCTTCTTGTTCATCTTCAAAACTCATGCAATGCCTAATAATAAGATCCTTAATGAGATTCCCCCTATTCTCACTCCATCACTGAGGGACCCACAAAGCCCATCACACAGGCTGCCCAACACACACACACACACACACACACACACAGCCCTCTGCCCTCCAACCCTCCCAGGTGTCATGTTCAATGATGTCTACGCCGCCTCCAAGTTTGCCCTGGAAGGATTCTTCGAGAGCCTCGCCATCCAATTGCTTCAATTCAATATCTTGTGAGAAGGGACAGACACTGGGGCAGAGTTAGATAGGAGGAGGGAAAGGGGAAGGGAATGATGAGTAGCGGCAGAGGGGACAGAGAGTAAGGATGGGGGAGACAGAGGCAGTGCAAGAGATGGAGGAAAAGCAGACAGGAAATAAAAGAGATACGGAAGCTGGGCGCCAGCGGTTTACACCTGTCATCCTAGCCACGCAGGAGGCTGAGATCTGAGGATCACGGTTCAAAGCCAGCCCGGGCAGAAAGTCTGTGAAACTCTTATTTCCAATTAACCACCAGAAAATTAAAAGTGGCGCTGTGGCTCAAGTGGTAGAGTGCTCGCCTTGAACTGAAGAGCTGAGGGACAGTGCCCAGGCCCAGAGTTCAAGCCCCAGGACCAGTACAGAAAGATAGATAGATAGATAGATAGATAGATAGATAGATAGATAGATAGATAGATAGATAGATAGATAGATAGACAGACAGATAGATAGGTAGATAGATAGGTAGATAGATGATAGATAGATAGATAGATAGATAGATAGATAGATAGATAGATAGATAGATAGATAGATGGGGGAGTGGAGGGGGTCAGTCCTGGGCAAAATGGAGGAGCCCTGGATTAGGACACCGGACCCACCCCAGCCCTGCCCCTTGCCCAGCGTCTCCCTGGTGGAGCCCGGCCCAGTGATCACAGAGTTCGAGGGGAAGCTGTTGGCTCAGATCTCTACGAGTGAGTTTCCAGGGGCTGATCCTGACACCTTGGCCTTCTTCCGGGATCTCTACCTCCCAGCCTCCGCGGAGCTCTTCCGCTCCGTGGGTCAGAGCCCACAGGATGTGGCCAAGGTAAGTGGCCCGGTAGTCACCGATGCCACATGTTGGTGGGTCTCAGGGGATCTCGGGAGAGGGGAGGGCTCCAGAGCTCAAGGCTCCATCCCACAGGTCATCGTCAAGGTCATCGGTGCAACCCGACCTCCCCTGCGAAGACAGACCAATGCGCGCTATGCTCCTCTGACAGTGCTCAGAGCTGTGGACCCCTCAGGCGGCCTGTACGTGCGGATGGCCCACAGACTCCTCTTCCGCTGGCCAGGCCTCCTCAGCCTGGGCCTTCGATGCCTGGCCGGTGGTTGCTTCCCCAAACGTGTGTGGCCAGGATGAGCAGGACAGAGTCTGGCACCGCCTCCTTCATCCACTCCGTGGGCAGGACTCGCGCTCATTCATCCGCCGCTCATTCATAAATCCATTCATTCATAAAATCCCTTGGTCACCCACGATGCATCCATTCATTCTAAGTTCATTCGTGAATGCATTTGCTCCTGCATGCACTCGTTTATAAATGCACTCCTGCCTGCATAAATTCTTTCATGCATTCATTCAATCGCTCGTTTGTTTGTTTGTTTGTTTTGTCGGTCATGGGCTTGAACTCAGCGCTTGGGTGCTGTCTCTGAGCTTTTGTGCTCAAGGCTGGCGCTCTACCACTTGGGCCACAGCTCCATTCCTGGCTTCTTGGTGCTTCATTGTCGAGGAGTCTCATGGACTTTTCTCCCTTCGGTGGCTTTGAACTGTGATCCTCAGATCTCAGCCTCCTGAGTAGCTAGGATGACAGGTGTGAGCCATCAGGGTCCAACTTATAAATTCATTTGTCTTCCATGTGTCCATTCATTCCTAAATTCATTCAGCAAAATGCGCCACCTGCTTTGAGTTTCCATGTCAGGAAGTTGGAGCCAGCCTGGGCAGGCAAAGAGCTTCTTGGAAGAAGGTGTGATCTAAAAACAGGGTGACCCCAGACCAACGCCTCCCTCAGCGCACCCCGCACTTGGTGATCCTCTTTCCCCTCTCTCTTCCCTCCTCCCTTATTTCTCCCTTCCTCCCTTCCTTCCTTTGCTTCTTGATCATGGTGTCACTAGCAAAGTGTGTTTGTGTACACACTAGCAGGTCATTGTTACAGGAAATAATAAACCCATCTTTGTGACACTTCAATTAAAAAAAAAAAAAAGCAGGACACTGGTGGCTCACTCCTGTCATCCTAGCCACACAGGAGGCTGAGATCTGAGGATCGAGGTTCAAAGCCAGCCCGGGCAGGAAAGTCCATGAGACTCTCGTCTCCAGTAAACCACCAGAAAACCGGAAGTGGCGCTGTGACTCAAGTGGTAGAGCGCTCGCCTTGAGCTGAAGAGCTGAGGGACAGCGCCCAGGCCCAGAGTTCAAGCCCATGACCAGAAAAAAAAAATCACTTGTGAGCCACAGGACTGAGTGTGAGACCCCCACAGGGTGTCCCCAAGTCCCCTGACCCCCAGGGAAGGCACAGCTGGCAGGAATGGCAGGGTGTCCCCTTCCTTCTGCCTCCGGCCAGGCCTTTCTCTTTCCCAAGGCTCCACCTGGGAAATTTCTCTGCTGCCCAAATGAGTGAGTCACCTTCTGTGGGGAAGACTTCTCCCAAGGCTGGAGGAAGCAAATGGAGCAAAGGCAAGCTGTTATTAAATCCCAGCTGGCGCCATTGCTCACCCGCCACTGTCGGCCAGTGTCCAGCTGAAGATGCTGGACATCTTCTTCAGAAGGCTCCTCCAGCCCGCCCCAGTTCCAGCTGCCCTGGCCAAAGCCCTCCCAGAGCTCTCTCAGATTCTGCAGCTGATCCTCCCTCCCCTCTCTCTTCCTCCCTCCAGAGCTCCTCCCATCCTTCCCTCTTTCCTTCCTTCCTGCCTCCTTCTTTCTTTCCTGAGCTGTTCCGGAAATGGATAGAACTGTGTTATACACTTTAGAATGGTGAAGAGAGTACCGGTGTAGCAACGCACACCTGCAATCCAAGCACTCAGTCAGCTGAGACAGGAGATCAGGAGTGTGAAACTAGCCAGGGCTGCAGGGCAATATCCTGTCTCAAAAACAGAAAGATGCGGCTGGGGAGGTGGCTCAGGGGTAGAGCGCTTGCCGAGCATGCACGAGGCCCTGGGTTCGACTCTTTAGTGCCACATACACAGAAGAAGCCAGAAGTGGTGCTGTGGTTCGAGTGGTAAAGTGCTAGCTTTGAGCAAAAGATGCCAGGGATAGTGTGCAGGCCCTGAGTTCAAGCTGCAGGACTGGCGGAAGGAAGGAAGGAGGGAAGGAAGGAAGGAAGGAAGGAAGGAAGGGATGGAGGGAGGGAAGCAGAATTTTTTTTATAATTTAAAGGCTAGGATGGTAGATTTTATTGTATGTACATTTTACCACAACTGAAAAATAAACACAATATATGTGTGTACACACACACACAGATACACATGTGTATGCCAGGACTAGAACTTGAACTCAAGACCTGGGTGCATTTTATTGTTGTTGTTCAAGGCTGGATCGACTTCACCACTTGGGCCACACCCCCACGTCTGGTTTTCTGGTGGTTCATTGCAGATAAGAGTCTCACGGACTTTCCTGCCCAGGCTGGCTTCGAACCTTGATCCTCAGATCTCAGCCTCCTGAGTAGCTGGGATGACAGGCGTGAGCCACGGGCGCCCAGTTCACAAAATACTTAATGCAAAAAAGAAAAATACAAGCCCGTCTTATTGTTTTTTTCTGAAAAGCAGTGCGCTAAGCACAAGTTCGGGTTCTCGTCTGCTCTGATGTGTGTGCCTTGGAGGCTTTCTGTGATGGCTTCGCATGGGAATTCCCCCTTGCATAGCACGCATTGGTGCAACGTGGGGCTGTGTGGTGCTTTGTGTCTGGGCCTCTTCTGCCAGGCCTGTGGTCAGCCCGAGGTCCTTGGGGTCTAAGTGCAGCCATGACTAGCTCTTGCACTCATTGCCTCACACGTGTGCAAGGACTCTGCTCACAAAATGCCTCTGCCAAAAAAAAGAGAAAAAAATCTGTGTATTTGTCATCGTGGCGAATGTGACCGAATTCATCCCCAGCGTTCGGAAGAGCTGTGTCCACGCCCTAGCTTGCTTCACACCCTAGCTCGCTTGCTTTCCTATAGCCCTTGTGACTCAAGTGTATTTTCCCCATGTGTGTGTGTGTGTGTGTGCACGCGTGCTAGGCCTGGGCCTTGAACTCAGGAGTTGGGTGCTGGTGCCTTACCACTTGAGCCACAGCTCCACTGCCAGCTTTTTGCTGGTTCATTGGAGATAAGAGTCTCAGGAGTTTCCTGCACTGACTGGCTTTGAACCATGATCCTCAGGTCTCAGCCTCCTAGGCTGACAGGCGTGAGCCACCAGCACCAGATATTTTCCCAAACTACCAGAGGAAAGGTAGTGTCCCAGTGAGGTTTGAACTTGCATTTGTCTTATTATGAGAGGGGTTGAATGTTTTCATAAGTAGCTTCATAGAATCTATAAAGAAATTGAGTGATTTAATGGAATTTTGTAACATTTAAAAATGAGAAATATTTGAGAATTAAAGATGAGTAATAAAGTTGATTTAGTAAATACTTAAAAAAAAAAGAAAAGAAAGAAAACCAGCCAGGCACTCAAGCCCCAGGTGTCGGTGGCCTCTGCCTGTCGTCCTAGCTACTCAGGAGGCTGAGATCTGAGGGTCACGGTTCAAAGCCAGCCTGGGCAGGAAAGTCCCTGAGACTCTTATCTCCAATAAACCACCAGAAAACCGGAAGTGGCGCTGTGGCTCAAGGGGTAGAGCGCTCGTCTTGAACTGAAGAGCTGAGGGACAGCGCCCAGGCCCAGACTTCAAGCCCCTCAACCAACAGGAAAAAAAAAAGCTGTGCTTCAATTTTGCCTAAATATTTTTATTGCATTGTTGTTATTTTTATTAGAAACCCTTTACATAGTAAGGAGACCAGAAGTCTAACCTCCTATTTTGAAGTTCAAACCTTTACTTCCCAATTGTATTTTTTGGGTTTTTTTTTTGGGGGGGGGTCTGGTCGTGGGGCCTGAACTCTGGGCCTGGGCGCTGTCCCTCAGCTCTTCAGCTCAAGGCCAGCGCTCTACCACTTGAGCCACAGCGCCACTTCCAGCTTTTTTTTTTCCTTTTAGGTTATGTGGTGCTGAGGAATCGAACCCAGGGCCTCAGGCATGCAAGGCAAGCGCTCTACCACTGAGCCACCTTCCCAGCCCCCAGTTTGCTTTTTTTTTTTTTTTAACTTTTTGCTGGGGCTTGAATTTAGGCTCACTTGCTTACTGAGATAGCAACCTACTATTTGAGCCATGCTTCCAGTCCAGCTTTTTGCCAGTCATTGAAGATGGAATATCACTATGGCTGACCTCCTGGGCTCCAACAATCCTCCTGCCTCAGCCTCCAAAGTCGCTGGAACTACAGACAACAACACCACAGCCCACCGAGATTCTCTGGTTTCTCCTGTGTACCACCTCTTCCAGGAAGACTTCCTTGACTGCCACGCTAGATGAGCTATGCATCAGCTACATGATCCAGGCACACAAGGAATTACTATTGCACACTTGGCACCCAAGGTGACTTGAATGTTTCCTCTGGGTCAGCCACAGACTTAAACATTCTCCCTGCCAGCAGCCCTCCCTGGACCAGGCGGGCTCCAAAAGCAAGACTTCCAAAAGAAAACAAAGGTGCTTGGCACCAGCGGCTCACACCTGTCATTCCAGCTACTCAGGAAGCTTGACTTCTGAGGATCAAGGTTCAAAGTCAGCCCACGCAGGAAAGCCCCTGAGACTCCTACCTCCAATGAACCATCAAAAAGCCAGAAGCAACAAAGCTCAGAGGCAGATCCCAGGGCTTGAGTTCAAGTCCAAGGACTAGCACACACACACATACACATACACACACACACACACACACACTCCCTTGAAGCCTATGGCCAACAGCTCACATCTGTAATTCTACATAGCCATAAGGCTGAGATCCAGACGATTGTAGTGCAAAGCCAGCAAAAACCTGGACTGGAAACGTGACTCAAGTGATAGCACATCAACTGAGCAAGCAAGCCCAGGAAATGTGAGGCCCTGAGGTCAAAACACACCAACTAGTACATCCTCCCCCTTCCCCCAAAAAAAGGCGGTGTGAGAAACTGGGCCCCAACAGACAGAACACCAGCAAGTCTCAGAACTGAGTGAAAAGGTCCCTACTAAGCGCTGCTAGGTGTCTAATAAACACCTAAGACGTGCTAGAATGTATTTAATTAAAAACAAAACCAGCCATTGGTTTCTGAGTCGGGTTTTTGGTATCATCTTTGGGTCTCTTGAGGCCTAGCTCAGCCTTTTCCTAGGAAG